AATACAGTAGATTTGCCGATGTAATTTCTGTCTATTTTTCAGAAACCGCAGTGACCTAAACAGTATTAGAAGTTCAGTGCATAGAATTTCCAGTTGAATTTAGAGGTCCATCTGCAAGGCGGTCTTCTGAAATTGCAGCTCTTAACCTATTAATTGCACTTTTAACCTTTTTTCAATTTATTGCCATGAAGATGAGTTGCATAGTTCTATTTGAACTTGAAAAGGCATTTAAGAAAGTACCACCAGAGACAAATGGTAAGCAGGAACATTAGGCTGTTTATTGCACGCTTTGCAGATATTCAACCGAGTGTTAAAATTGATAAACTATTGGTAACCAATGTTTCTAGACCAAGCTTATACGCCAAAAAAAGCTGGTGGTAATCAACTAACCCACCCCCACCCCTCCCCTTACACACAAGCATTAAAATCAAGAAAACTAATCACTGTCGTTAGCATGACTAATAATGCCTCAAGTTTTATTTTAACGAAGTCTTTGTTTAATGCATCTTTAAAACTCTTCATAATCAAGGGTACTCAAAATTGAATTTTCCAGATGGGCGTGAAAAAAAACTAATAAATAATTATGGTACCAGTTTTTATTTGGTGGGTTTCTTCCGTTTGAAAAAAAAATACCTTGGTTCCTCAATGTAGGCTAATTTACACTAAACGCTCAGAAATGAATAAAAATAGGGGGAAAAAAATTATCGCTTCATCGGCTGAAATCAATTAGTTTTCGATTTCAGCCGGTAAAACGCTTTAACATCTTTTCACATTTTCTCAACAGTTAAACAATTTTTTTTTTGTTTCGGGAATTTACAATTACGGAAACAAAAAAAAAACATTCAGCGAAAAAATATATATTTAAGACCACATTGAAGGGGGTTTCAAAGCTGCTAAGATACAAAATAATACAATAATAATGTAAGTTGAACTTCTAGCAAGATTGATAAGCAAAATTATTTACGAAAACCAAGTATAAATTTCGGTTAAAAATCACTTGCCCTTGCATATGCAAAAATCATTTTTTTATTAGCTGAAAGCAGGGTTTTCTCGAGGAGGGGGGCGGATCTAGGGTTTCCTCGATCTAGGGTTTTCTCGAGGAGGGGGGCGGATCTTCAAAAAAAATCGAAAATTTTGTCGACCTTTTTTTAGGTCGACCAAATTGATTTTCTGAGCTCTCCCAATCATTATAAAGACCCCATTTTGACCAAATTTTCTGCGCTGCCCCCTGAAAATTAGTATATTATGGCGCCAAAGGCGCCTTCAGAAAAAGTTTTAGGTTCAGTCAGTCAAAAATGGATACCTCAAAATAGCACAAAGGGGGACCCTTTGAGTCGGCAGGGGGTTGAATCCCTGAGGGGGACACCAGCCCCCTTAAATCCGCTGGTGGCTGAAAGTACTCCTGAACAGATGCGAAGCCGAATTACGCACCACACGCGATTAAAGAACTTGAACTTGAAAAATAGTGAAAAACCAACTATTTAAAAAGATGAATGTTTCCAAGAAATGTTTCAAAATTCATACAAGTAAAAATCGAAAAATTATACCTAGGCTATTCAAAATTTCCAAAACTATTGCAAAAACCAGAAAAAATCAAACTAAAAAGTAATTTTCAAATGCCACTGAACCTATGTTCACATAAAACCGATATAAAACTTGATAACAGCTCAATTCAAATGAAACTCAGATTTGGTGGCTGAAAAAGTAGCATGAAATTGTAGCCTGATAAAAAAAACAAAAAAAAACTGTTTGTTGACAAAAAGGGAATTAAAAAAGTAAGTCTTTCCGTTCTGAACCGGAGAAAAAATACTCACAAATGGAAAAAAAATTAAAGACAGAAAATTGTCTCTCTGACTAACACATTAATGCACAAACGGAAAGAAAGTTTGTATCAGATAACGTATTTGCAAAAGATAAGTCTAAAACATAGCCGGCAAAAAGTATCTTGTTTGTAGGGTATCTCAAGTTGCCTTGGTTATAAGAAAACTTTTGTGTAGAGAGGCATGTGCAGCACAAAAAGATTCGTTTGTAATCTAGTAAACATTATTACAAGCATTTAAATTGTCTGATATCAGTTTCGACTTAATTTGGAGTCGCGTTAAATTGTCAATGCGCTAAGCGATTAAAAACCGAAAAAAAACAGACCTGTCAAATATTTTTCCAATCACATAAGACGCAGGTATTGATTCCAATTGAACAATATTAAACTGTTTTATAAAAAGGGGATTATAAGATAAATGGGGTTTGACAAAGTTGCACGTCTTTTGAGCAATAGCAGAATTTTTTTGTCTTATTTTTGGTTTTTCTTTTTTTTGCAAGCGATTAATTAATCAAAGCAGATTGATTTCGTCACCCAGAGGATATTGGACGTAAAGAGGCATTACAAACTACCCACAAAATCCGCAAAAAAATTTGAAAGTTAAAAAAAACTAAACAAATTTTGTCTGGAACGATGTTCTAATGAAGGAATCGATCATATTTAAGGACACACAATCGACGGTGTTTAACTGAAAAATCAAGCACTCTTATCGAACGGCAACCAAGCCGACAAAAATTTTTGGTAAATTGCGGTAAATTCCCGTAAAACCTAAGACCAAATTGTATTCAAGAAAACATTTCAAGATTTTAAGCATTTTGTTGTGCGCTCCAGAGAGGAGCACAAAAGTTTGATTTTCCTCTAAACCCTAAAATCAAATCACTAATTTCAGTTTCTATGGAGATAGTTTTCTCGTCCTCTACAAACGCTAAAATAATTCGGTTTTTTCTTTCATTAAAAGCTCGTTCAATTAAACGTATTGTTTTATGGAAGCATTGTTTCCATAAATAACACAAACATGGCGCTATATCGTTTCCATATACAGCACCAATTATGGTGTCAGTCATAGCTCAAATTGAAAAATGTTCAAAGTCTGCTAACAAATATAGCTGAAGAAAAAGAGTGATTATGATGAGTGATTCCAAAAAAATGATTTCTGACGTGTGGTTTGCTATTTTCCAGTTAAATCATATATGGATGTATACGGTTGCGCATGTTCTTTTTATGATAGCTATCCCGGGCGTTATCCCTTTTTATGATGGCTTTTTTTTCAAATAAATGGAGGGTATTTGCAAAGTATTTCCTATTATCGAAAAAAAAAACTGGATTTATAAGCTTTATTTTTCGGCTAATTTTTTTTTGGCTAATTATAACACAATAAATCTTGGGAATAAAAAAATTCAGACGTTCAAAAAAATTCTGCAAAACAAAATTGCTATTTTTTATTTATCATGTTTTTTATCAGTTAATTTTCGAAAAAAAAACTGTTTCATACACAGAGGCGAAGTTGCACTTCGAATACACAAGCAAAAAGCAAAAATATCACCGATAACGCTACTGGGAAAAAGTGAATGAGTAACAATTGGAATCTACAAAATTTCTGAATTGATGCACGCCAATTATGAGTCTACATAATTGCTAAATGACGCAAGCCAAATATGACGCATTAGAAATTTACTGACTAAAATGCCTCATTTTATAGAGCGGACGCATTTGAACTAGTATACGAAAAAGTTCCTTAAAAACATCCGACCCTCCCCTGGTTTGAACCCTTATAATTTGTTACTGTCCCCTTCCCTACCTCTACGCTACAAATCCATGATACCTTGAAGCTAAAGTGCTAATTTTAATTAAGAGTCTGTGTTGATATCTTTAGAGTTTGCAGTACTTAATAGCAGGTTATTGATCAAAATGAACACTGTCAAAATGAACACATTTTGTCGCAACATTATTTGCGTCGCAACAATATTTGCGTCGCAACAATATTTGCGACAAGATTGTAAAAAAGAGTTCATACTATCACACAAGCTTCGCAGGTGTAAGTATACCTATTTTATTTTGAATATCGACTATGCATAAAACCTTTAGTTCAGATTCTTTCATCACAACACCCTGAAAAAATTGAAATTATGTTTAAAACAAAATTTGTGGTTTTTTAAAATATGTTTGGAACATTCTGTGCTAGTTTTGCACAGCAACCGGATTTACTTGATTTATGTTTGGCCATGGGTGACATTGAAATCGGCTCCAGTGAATTTTTTATTCGCGAGATAATCTTATGCGAGACCTTTACAGTCGCAACATAAGTCGCAGACCGCGGGACATGAATGCCAGATTTGTCTCAAAATTCGAGCAAAAAATAAGAAAAAAAACAATTCTATAACATTTGATTGTCTCGTAAATCATCTTATAATAAATCTTCAAGGGAGTTAACGCACTTTGAATTTTAAAAATAATTCGCTTAATCTGTTCACTAGGTAAAATAATTTTTTTTAAAATCAGTTGCTTCAGTGTTGATTTAAACTATCTGGGCAGAGCAATCAAAATTTGGATTTTTTAAAGGGTTTTTTACAAACTGGATCAAAATCAGACAAAAAGTAAAGTGATCAAGAGTTGCTTAGAATTTTACCAGGATTGATTTGGTGGAAAATTTAGGAACAAATGGCTACCCTAGAAATGCGTCATTTTGTTTCTTTTTTTCTACTTAATCACAAGTCAAGCTAAAGCTACCAAGTTAATTGATGAGAAAGTATTTTTTACTAATTAAAACCCAAATTATTTGTTAAACTCTTGGAGGAATTTGATAAAGCATTGATGGGCTATGTAAGAGGCTCCTTTTGATATAACTTTCTCATCAATTACCTTGTTAAATTTAGCGTAGTTTTTGATTAACTAGAAACATGCAAAATGACTCATTTTTGAAGTAAAATTTTGGTTCAAAGTTTCGCAAAATAAATTGCACCATATTAATTCTGGTAAAATTCTAAGCAGATTTAAATTTGGTCGCTTTTTGTCTAATCTTAACTCAAATGGAGAAAAACTCGTTCAGATTTTCCAATGTTTGTTTTATTGGAATAATTTAAATCAGCGCTGTTTTTATGACATGTTTTAGCAGCGTAATTTTAGAAAAAAAATTTAGAAGCGACACTGACAAAACCCATCGTCAGACTAAACCTGAGTTTACCATCTGATCCATTCAGCCCCCCTTCCACGTTTCCGAGCAGGTTCTCAAAGTTTGATTCGAACAAAGATTCATCGTAGAAGTTGTAGTACTGATGATCTGCTACAATGAATTCTAACCAGCCCGTGGCCTTGAAGTTTTCCTGTACTTTAGCGAACACTTGTTTTTTCTTCAATTGAAACGAATAGAGAGCTTCCTGTCTGCAATTTTGACTATTTTGGTAAGCTTGTGAATAACATATCACAATTACAGTCGAGTCTTCGACGGTTTCGCCCATCGCTTGAGGCAGGTTATTCGCATAAGTCATGTTGTAGTAGTCGATCCAGGCGTTTATTCCGCTGGCTTTCAGTGCAGCGTAAATATTTCTGGCAGGTTCTTTTTCGTTCCAGCTGTAGCTTACCATGACCATGTTTGTAGTGTCCGTCACTTGGTTTGTGCCATACTCCAGTTGGGCTTGGCGTAGCTCAACGTGGACCTGATTAACTAGAGCAGTTAGATCAGGTGCAGTCTCATACTGCTGTGGCTCTGAAAAGCCAGTGATCTGATTACCAATGAGTACGGATCTGATTATCAATGAGTACGGGATGGTTTAAAGGATATTATTTTTACAGATACTCAACACCCAAGATAGCAAGAAAAGGATTTCTACCTTATAAAAAACCAACTGAACTAAATATTATGATCAAGGTAAATTTTTTTTAGGCACTTTCATCAAATTTCAGTTTCATTCTCTTCATTCTTTTGCATCACTTCTCAAAATGACACAATTCAGTTCAAAAAAATTATTTGTCGAGCAACAAACTTTTGGGTGAATATGGATTTCTTAATTTTCCTAAGCCCAATTGGTAAAGACCATTAACCCTACCTGACAAAATTTCCTCATTAACAATGACTTCATATTACAAATTTCTCTATTTGATTACCTTCATTCTTCGTTTCCTCTCCCAATCGTGCACTTTTTCCTGTGACTGTCTTCGAAGATAAAAGGCTTGCTGTGAAGAAAATGAAAACTTGTTGCATTGTTAATATTTATTTCGTCAAATGTCATATGCTGACGAGTTAACCATAAAACAGAAACTTTGTCAAATGAATGAAATTTTGTCAGTATATAACAAAAAGTACAAATGTAAGCAAGATTATTTGTCTGCTTATTTAACTGTTAAATAGTTTTCGGCAGTTATAAGTTTCGTTCAATTACAGAATATCCTAAATGATATTTAATCGGCACAAAAACGTTATTGTTCCGACCAGTAAAATGGGGGGGAACTTGTATTCGGTCTTGGTTTTTCTTTCATTTTTTCCACGCAAAATTAGGTACTTCAAAAACCTATCGGACTGGGTTGAATGATGTATCATATCAAAGCTCTTCCAGTCTTGATTCGAACGACATTAATTTTTTTTCAGTGTCGAGAAAAACCGGTTTGAAATTTTATCATCTTTCGTGTAATTTCGAGCTAGTAAAGCAAGTGAGCAGGCTTATTATACAGGATAATTGCAGATTAGTAGTAAAAAAAAAACAATAAATTTTTGACCAAGACCTTAAAAAATAGTAACATAATTTTTCAATATCAATGTTTCAAGCGCCATCTTGGGAATAAAAAAACTCGAAAAATTCAAAAAAATTCTGCAAACAAATTGAAAGAAATTGTTTTATTTTGTTTTTTTATTAGTCAGTTTTCCAATCTACCCCTAATTTACTAAGAATACCTAGATTTTAGGCATCTAATTTAGTCTTTAGCTTAGATCCTTTCATCGCCTCATGCACAAAAAACAATTGAAACTAATATTTTTAACACAGAGATGGAGCTTCGCTTCGCAAACACTAGCGAGAAAGCGGCAAAAAGCAAAAAGCAGCTCTAGAAAGTGCAATAAGTCAAAATCGAAATAATCCATGTATTAGCAAAAATTCGGCAAGGTCTAGATTTGGATCTGCGGCCTACTGCAATCAGGAGATTTTGAGACTCACGCACTAGCCACTCAGCCCCGCACGCTTAAACACCGACAAACACTAGTCACGAATAACGCAGCTGCATATAATAAATTGTCAATGCCATTCAGCAGAAGTGACACCAAATACAAATAGACACAGTTTAGCATGTAATAATTTGGAATATAAACTGAAGGCATCCACACTAACTTTGCATGGACCAAATCGGAAAGCATAAAGCCACATTATGTATATTATGCATTTTAAAAAATTGCAAGATAAATTGAGTTAGAAAATTTCTGAAACCGAGTTTTTATGATTGTCACATTGTTTAAAACAAATAACTTTTTTCGGTTCATTTGATCAATTTAAAATGCATCAAATGTGTTAACGTACTAATATTCGAGTGTCAAAGCACATGCTATCAAAAAGTCGTCCCAAAAGTGGCGCCAATATTTGCGGTTTAGGTTAGAAATAAAGAAGATTCTTAATAATACACTAAGCTTACGCTAGTGTAAAAACCACGAATCCGAGAAAATAAGACACCTTGAAAAAAACTAATGACTCTGCTAAGTGTACTCGGTACTTTGATTTGAATTTTCAGGAAATCTATCCTGTCATCCTGGAAATGAAAAAACTGCACGTAATTCTTACAAATTTGTAAGAATAGATGTTAACAGGAAAAAAAGTGAAAAAACATTGCGCCAAACTGTGCCAATAATTAGTGCTGCTCGAATCATTAACACAGAGGCAAAGCTGCCAAAGAAAATCAAGCAAATTAAAAATGGTAATGGTCTTCGAAAGAAACTGACTTCTGCGGGAATCGAACTTCAGTCATTTCAAGTACATATGTCGACTTCCCTAAAAAAATGCGCCACTCACACTTACAATTTACATAGACCAAACTAGTCACTGATAAACTGGAAAATTCATGCTATTAAGCTGCCAGTACTATGCAACAAACGTGCCACCAAAATGAAAAGTTTTATTGGCGAGTTTAGTTGGAAAAAGTGAACTTCAATTATGACACTATGCTCGCTAGCTCGATTGGGCATTCGTAACATTGACATGATGCTGAAAAAACGGCTTTTTCAATTTCCAATCCCTCGCCGAATTACCATTTTAAGTTGTTGGAAAAATGTTCATATGGCAATTTGCATGCAAGAAATATTGTACACAATGGAGAAACATACAAAATTAGCTCGACAGGAGTCTATGTCACGCCATCAACTACCTACTCCATTGGAGTCTACTGTTTTGAATGCTGACCACCTACATGCGCATGCTATCATGTAAATACCAGCCACTAATTCTATTACGTTTTTATTGCAGTTTATAATTTCAAAAATCATTTAAAATAGAACTTCGTAAACCGAAATTTACAAAAAAAAAACCGAAGGGGGCAGGCAGGAACCGAACCCAAAAAAGAACTACCCTTTGGTACTAGTTTAGTGACATCAATTTTTGCTGACCGGGCCCTAAATAAATACATGAAAAATAAGGCTAACAATAATTCCGGATATTTATTGAAGATCTACCCCCTCTCCAGATTAAAGTTCTAGATTCAACATTGAAGTATTTCTGCTGGCTCTATTTCAGAGTTGTTGAGCTTTTTTGCTCACATCATTGTACTTTAGCCGACAGCGTTGATTCTGAAAAAAAACCAACATATTAAAAAAAACAGGTGGCGGATCGAGGATTTTCTCGAGGGGGCGTGGTTGAATTTTGAAAAAAATTTCGAAAATTTAGTCCTATTTAGTCTTATTTTATGACATCCATTTAGGCTGGCCAACATTAAATTTTTTCTAAGGGCGCCTTTAGCGCCAATGTACACTAATTATGAAGGAGGGGAGCGCATACCGAAAAAACGCATAACTTTTGGCCAAAGGAGGGTCTTTATACTATTCTGGTAGTGCTCGGAAAATCAATTTCAGTCAAACTAAAACAAGTCGACAACTTTTTTGCTATATTGAGTTATTGATATTGTTATATAGACGAAAATATTATATCCAAGTATATTCTTGATAACTATCACTTAAAAAATTCCAAGAACTAACCAATCATGATCCATGCCTAAAACTTCCAATAATTTGTACGGCTGAAACTATTTATGGTTTCAGCCAGAGAAGATTCAATTTAACTTAGAAAGCAGTTGCTCTTCCTCCCCTCTATCCTCACAAAAATACCAGTATATACTCGATCTTTTGAGACTAGGAAAAATCAGAGTAAGAATAGGATCGGTATTTGACTAAGAAGTTGCACGAATCTATCCGGACGAAAATAAGAAAGCGTGTTGAACATAGTGTACCTTATCCAAAATTATTCTATGAAAAAACCACCAATGACTAACCGGGATAGTCAATTGCTTAGCAAGTGGCACGGAAAACTCCGACCACGTTCATAACCAATTTCTTTTCATTTTTGGGCCGTTTTTTGAGCATTGCGCGAGAAATTGAAAAACAAAAAGATGGATTTTTAGAGCAATAATCAGAATCAACTCATGTTTACTTCAAAAAAAAGTAACGCAAAAAATTTCAAAAAAAACTGAAAAAATTTATCTAACCTTAGCAAAAACTTTGTTGTAATTTTTGAAACGGTTTCATTGAGTAGAAAGCACATAAATTTATCTTCCAATACTAGTTTTCCTGGAGTAAAAATATGTCTTTTGCGGCTTAAGTAACCGCGGAATTTTACCTTGCAAATGTACTTGCTCGCCGTACTCGCTCGAAATTAGACTGAAAACAGAAACTGTGACAGTTTTTTTCCGTCAATTGAGTAAACTTTTTGAAAGCTTGTTAACCTCATTGGACTCACAAACTAAAGGTTTGTGATGGAACATATCTTTCAACCCATAATTTCAATTATTCTTGGCACCAGATTTTGCGTGGAAAAATATTTAAAAAACAGTTTACAGAAATATAGTTCCTTCACATGTTTACTTGGTCACTGAGACATGTATTTTTATTACATTTAACCGCTTTATAACCAGGGAGCAGCAAAAAAGTAAATTTTGGGTCGTAAAAAGTACTTTTTTGTGTTTTAAGAATTGCCAAGAAAGTATAAAAATTTTGTTTACTTGTTTAAGTTTCAAAAGTTGCCAAGAAAAAGTTGCCAAGAAAATAAAAACATTAAGCGCAGAAAACTTCAATTTCGGTATTATAAACGTATAAAAAAATACTTTTGCACATTTTCCATCAAATTATTTTGACAGTCATCTAGCTTTCGCTTTAGTAGATTGAAAAGTCTTTCGACTTCGCATAATGTTATTGGAGCATAAAGGAACTCAGCAGGAGTTTTTACCACAAACTCCACGTCGGGGTTGTTTTTTACAACTTTTTGCAATTTATCAGCTGCCTCTATACCAAACGACGCTTCCCAAAATAGGCTGTGTTATTTCTGAGATATGCAAAGCCTATAACGTATTGCATATGAATTTTCAAGATAAAGATCATATCGGTACAAAAAAAAAACGAAACTTTTACGTATCGTTATTATAGACTTTGCAGCCAAAAAATCAGGTGCTTGTTTGGTCCCTCAAAAATGCTGTGGTCTCTAATAAAAATCGAGGTACAGTATGTGGCTAATTCTTACAGTAAGCATTTTTATTTCTTCCCTTGATAGTCTAGCGGGTACGAATTCCCTTCCAACCTCAAGGCGTAGGTTCAAATCCCGAGCTGGCTCTTCTTTTAAGATAATAGGCAGGACCCATCAACTAAACTAGTTTTGTCACGGGACCAAACATGTAAACTATTCAACCAAAATCAAAATGTAGAAAAAACTGTAAGAAAAAAAAAGAATCAGTTATTTCACTTTGAAAGCTCAGACAAGGTGCACCAAATTTTAAGCTGCACAAATGACCTCGATGACACAGCTTACACATGCACGACACCTCCTTGGAACTGTCCGGAGGCATCTCTTCTATGAGTGCTACTTAGTCTACTTTTCAGCGCTACTAAAAACACATACGAGAAAACTCAATTAACCAAAATAAAGCAGAACACCAATAAAAGCAATCTGAGAGCAATTACTGCAATGAAAACAAATTTAGATATACATTTAATAGAATGATTGGTTCAGTATAGCAACTGCTCTATAATTTTCAGAT